CTATACGGCGGGTGACCCAGTAATTCAACGTTTGATGTCGCCAAATAGTCGATCGTTCGCTTGGCGGTGTGCGACGAGGCGTTGTCGTGGTGAAGGAGGATCCTACTGCGAGGTCGTTTCTCTCGAACTTTTTCCAAGACAAGTGGCAAACAATTGGTATTGTACCATTCTGCAGAAACTGTTTTTTGATCCTCTAACACAATTGTTGCAAAATGACCTATCCTTCCAAAGAACGAGGCCACCATTTTTTTTCCCGCACTTCGATCTTTCTTCACTTTAGTTGGCAACTCCTCGAAAGGAAACACCCACTGAGCAGATTGTCTTTTGGTTTTAGGATCATAACAGTAAATCCAGCTTTCGTCACCTGTTAGTATGTCGAACACAGCATTTGAGTCACCTCCGTTAAATCTTTCAATCATTTTACGACACCAATCCACACGATGGAGTTTTTGAGCCTCAGTCAAATTATGAGGTATCCACCGGGCGCAAAGCTTCCTGACCGCTAAATGTTCGTGGAGGATTTTGTGCACTTGACTCATACCGATGCCTAAGCTTGTCCGAATCTGTTGATAGGTCACTCTTTTGTCAGTCTCTATCATACGCCGCACAACACAGATGTTATCTTCAGTCGTCGCCGTAGAAGGCCGTCCCTCACGTAAATCATCAGTGAGATTAGTGCGACCACGTTTAAACTCATTAAACCAGTTGTAAACAGTCGCACGAGATGGGGCTTCATCGTGAAAGGCCAATCGTAGTCTATCATAACTTTCTTGTTGACTTAAAAAGCATCGAAAGTCATAAAAAATCATTGCACGAAAATTTTCTCGTGTTAAATTCATGATGACGTGACACAGACAATTTTCAATTTGCCGCCAAATCGTAAAACAAATGACAAATGAATGAAATATATACTCAGTAATATTGGCAAAGAGTTATATTTTCAAATTTTAGAATTATTTTTTTATTATATTGTTTATAAGTGGCCAGTTCTAAGAACTTTCAGTTTGACCCTCGTACTGTATATACTCTTTGTAAATTAACTAGATTTCCGTCAGCGGCTAACCGCGTAGTCCTGAATTTCTTTAGCTGTAGACAACGGGAAGTGACTTTGTTTTATACTACGTATATAAGTAATTTTGTTTACGAAGCAATTAACTGTTAGTGGCGTCTTTACAAGTTCTATTCAGTTTTAATGGGAAACTGTTTACTTTTTGAGTTTATCTAATGCGAACTAATTCGGAACAAATTACTTCCTAAAAATGTAAATAAAATTCAAGACAAAGGCTCGCGTTAGAGCACTCCGCGGCTGTATTACTGCGCAGCAGACGCGACGCTCTGACAAACTCCCAACTTCGATTCCACGCATCGCTGATTCTCAACGCACTCTTACTGAAATTAATTTTATTAAAACGCCCGCCACCAAGCAAAAATCTACTTAAACACTGAAAGCTAAATCTCTGAATCGCAAAATCCTCGCATTACTTCACTTTACATCACTCAATTTAAATTCACAACATAACGTCGAAATAGAAGAACGAAATGAAAATTTCAATACACTTTTTATATAGTTTATTTATCCGGTATACGAGTTTCCATAAACACATGGCGATGAATATATGGATTCTGTACATTCAATATCAAAGTAAACAATAAAATGTATATTAATAAATGTAAATATTATATTATTATGACCTATTAAATTATTTATTGGCACCGAGACGTGATACCCGATCGTATCAAAATGGACGCTAAATACGAAAATTACAAAACATTTCTTTCAGTGGAACATTTTACTATCGCACAGTCAATGTATTATGATTTTTTTTATGCTCAATTTATCTTACGATAAACATTAATATAATCTTCATTAAATCGATTTTCATAATCGACGTTATTGGTACTTATATTGACTGTACGATATTTACAATAATATAATTAATTACATCATCGAAGTAAACATACATACAATATAGAGGAGCGGGGGCCGCGGAGTGACTCTAATGTGCGAGAAAACCGACACTAAGGCCGAAGGGTGGTAGGGAGAAAGAGAGAAAATCACAAAAGTACAATAGGTTACTACGAGAAGAAATTTAATTTATCTAGTACCATCTGCTAGAAAGTCTTAGTTGGGTCGAAACTCTAGAAGAAAAGGGAACTACTTAGAACCTTAACTAACTACGAATTCCGCAATGGACGGATGTTTACATTTAACATTTCCCAGATACATAACTGAATATTCTTTTGTCAAATCATCTCACAATTGACATTGTTGTTCATACAAAAATACACATATTTCACTACCTCCTAACTAAACTAACGTTTACTGTTTTTAAATTCTCTTTAATGACATCAACTTTATAGCTCTTTTAAATATATTATTATTATATTTTCCGCGACACTCCCGCACCTCTAGTGATATCACAATTCTTAACAACAATAACGACCCATAATAATCTGCTATAAAATAATAATAGACTACTAAAAAATTAAAGAATCTTGATTGTTCCAACAGTATTAAAATGTATCAAATTTTATTATCTGTTTATTCGATGTTTAAGTCGATGTGTGGGATGAAATATGATTACCAATGAATTTATTACTATAAAATATTGCTTCTTAAATATAGCAAGACGTCTATTCCCAATGAATGATTACCCACATCGAAAGGTTTACCGGCTTTTGTATTTGAGAATCAAACAAAGAAACAAGTAAATGGTATCTGACATATTATGACATTGTTGCAAATAGCTAAAGAACACTTAAATATAAAGGTATGTATAAATAATGGATTAAACACAAAACAAGGTACAACTAACCATTAATAACTTTTCAACATCGAACGTTTGATAAAAATTTACACTTACACTACTAGATTGTTGCAAAAATTGTGGTAGCAAATACCCGTTCATACAAAATTTCACTCGCACTAAGCGAGCGCCTAAAATTGACATCGAAATTTACATGATTTAATTTAAGCTATGATACATAATGTATTAATACTTTATTTAAGACCTTGACATCTATATATAAAATATACGCTAGCGTTTCAACAATACTATTTATGTTTAAATACATCAGAGTCAAACATAAATAATCTGTTGAATCAACACTGGCAATAAAAATGTCTCTTCGGACATTTTCACTTTAAATAAGACTAAATTCAATTGGTGTTCACATTACACAAACTTTTCACTTTCCAAAGACACTATAGAACATAACATTATTTTTTTATTGTAATAAAATTCTATTTTTCTTTTCAAATATCAACAATTTGGCACATCAGCTTCCTGTTTCATGAATACGCTACAAAACAAGTTAACAATGCAACGGGAAATTGGGGACTTGAAGCAAAGGGTTTAGCGGGAGCTTGTTCACTACGTTCTAATGTTGGGTATTGTTGTACGAGAAACACTTAATCAAATGCAATGTTATATTCCAGGCAGGCTGATGCGAATATCAGCCTTATCTCATCCGATTCCAAAATACGAACCAGTCACATGAAGATCGAAATTATTAACACCCATGAAATACCTACTTATCGTTAAGATTAATTTATAAACTTCGTTGTATTGTAATTTTCAATTACCACCTGAAATCAATTTTCGAATTGCATTCATAAATCATGATACATCCTACTATACTATACTCACATTATAAAGAATCAAAGTCAATAATTATCTTCTGATAAAATTTAAAATGATTTTATAAAATAGGTTATCACTTGACACCTGTTTATACAAGCTGGACTTCCAGGGATTCAAATTTATGTGCTTCTTAAATTAAATGTATCTATGTTTGTCTATGTATTTCTCGCAAATTGCATATCGGATCATAATGAATTCTTGGTTGTTTACTTAATTTTCAATTTAAGGAACACCACAAGTTAGTAAGAATTGAAGTTTAATAGTCTTAATACTTGTAAGTAATGATAGTACGATATAATTGCATGGTTAAGGAATATTGATTCAACACTATTGTTATGCATACCAATGTGATCGTAATTCATGGTAACGTATTTTAACCGTAAAGTATTTTTGTTATTCCGCGTTTAGAAATAAAGATATAGAAAATAATCAAATCTAATAATGCAGAGCCTTAAACAAAACAACGAAGTTTATCCAAACTGTAAACATATCTTATTACTAGCTTTGGTTTACCGCAGGGAATAGGTACTAAAGATAGATAGGAATACACTAGAGATCAATTATGATTACAGTACACTACGAAGACTAGATGAGGGGGTAAAAGAGTTCATTTTCACTCTAACCCATATACAAATAGGAATATTCCGCAATATTTATTCCAACACAGCTCCATAAAGAACTAACTACATGATTATATTCATATAAAAACATTCAATTAAAACTATACATTTATGGAGCTGTGTTGGACTGACATGTACACAAGAGCGTTCACATTGGGCTTTCATACAAATCTTTCAAGTGTTTTATACAATCACATTAGATTCGAAATGACGACCGGAATTCAGTCGTTAAAAGTTTCTTTTATTCAGTTTCCATGGTGCTGTTCAAATTTCTAAATTACTTGGAAGTAATTAGAAAGTTAACTAACTTTATTACTTGTAGTCGTCTTTTTCAACATTCGTTACAAGAATAAACATAACACGTGAGTGCATTAACAAATAAAAAATAACAATGACGTTAATTAAGATATATAGTGATATATTTATCAATTAATGACACATTAAAATTTTACGATTAAAATTACCGATGCAAAATATTTATTTTTGCATAACTATGAAAGTTTTATCGATTATGATTACTTCAATGGGATCGAAAAATACATCATCATTCATTACAAATCTCAGCAAATTACAGACTTAAGTGCTTACTTCAGTCCACGATTAGAAAAACCTCACCCAAAACGTTTACATATTCTTTCAAAGTCACTATTACATTTTTACATCTACCACGACAATTAAACTTTTCCCACTCGTATTTCTATTACGCTCATGAAAATATTAGTTCATTCTGAATATCTCATCGGCATAAGAATAAACCGAACAAAGGTAACGCAGTTGAAAGAAAAGCAGATGACAGGCAAGAAGATCCAGCTTGTAAGGCTCTTCTGGCTGGTTCTGGAGAAGGATCATTAGGGTTAGCTAAGGGAGCACGTCTAGGAAACACTGCCACAGCACCCCCGCCTGGAGTGGCAGCAACACACCATACTTCATCAGGTTCTACAACGTGTAGTACAGCCCTCCAGCAATGTTGTGCTAAGTCTGGGCTCAGAGTAGCCCGCGTAGCTCGGGTTGTGACTCCTGAACGGATCCAAAGTACTCTAACATTTCTACCGCAAGCACCGCATTCTAAACGCCAGCCACTTGATGCTGGAACAGCACTCAAGGCTGTCGCAGTTGCTCCTCCTACGTAAATACAAACAATAATAGTAGTACCTCGCCTAAAATAAAAAAATATATAAACCATAAAAATGCTGGGGATTCTAATTTGTTCTTTTAATATTAAAAAAAAAATCTCACCAGTAACTTTCAAAGTGACTCTCTTGAGCTCCCGAAGCCGCTTCAAATCGGGTGCCCTCGCACCGACGCATCGGTATTCTCCTCCTTCTTGGTATAAGGCATCCTTTATACCTAATTATAGAGAAAGATGTATTCAAAACTGATGCAAAAACTAAAAAAACTACGAATATTATACTATACTCATTCTGACAGCCTTAACTCTTACCCAACACGCCGTGTGCATGATGTGAACCTGCCGGTGCCCATGACTCACTGGAGTTGCCAACTACTCGACGCCACCAACAGCCAACGCTACCTGTGATAGTGAAATATAATAAAATCTTTATCTAAGGCTTACCCACCAAATGCTAAATCATGAGATGATTGAAATGCCACGATTGTACCATAAGTATTCAAATCTACATGAACTGAAATACAAAAGCGTGAACAGAATATGGTAATGGCAACTAATTCGTCTGACGTAAAACAGATGAAAGTGACAAAAGTTACTTTAAATTATTTAAATATGTTTTTTTTCTTCCAGGAATATAATATACCCTTAGGACAATGTAGCTGCACATTTCCCCCTACTGGAACCTCCACCTTCTGATGGTCAGCTTCTTCGTCCTCATCTTGGGGCTCTGTCACTGGTTCTGCATTATCTTCGGGGGCTGTAAAGGTTAGTTAAACTTCAACATATTGTACTACTAACGCAATTGGACACAGCAAGATGTATATTGTCAATCTAAATGTCGTTGCTACTTCTAAGAGATTAGTTTCTTGAATCTATTATTCTTCGCATTTACAATACATCTTGAATTTGGTAAAGGAATAAAATTGAACATTTCAAAAGTTCTTTCGATAACCTTAATTAAATCAATGATATTTTCAATCATTTTATAATTTCTAATCCGATAAGACTACCCATTACAATGTCGAATAAACTAAATTATACTATACCCACCCATAACTATGCAACGCCTTGAGTCCTATTTTATGAGCAAGACTTTTCAACTTTTTGATATTTTAATCCTAAAACAACAACTACGTCGTCACATACCTATAACATTAAGATAATATCCTATAGAGGAGTACTCGGCATCAAGCCACGTAGCCCGGCATCGGTACCAGCCTGCATGCGAAGCGCGCAAAGTTGGCCATCGAAGTGTCGCCGACCCTCTCGCTGATTCATCTCCAGCATCCACTGGAGGAGGCGAGCTAAATTAAAATTGAAATAACTATAAAATAAGAAACTTACCTCCTGGTCACATGAAAGTCACGGACAACTTTTTAACAAGAAGAATATTTTATAAGCTAGAATAGATATTTGAAGAGTCCGAAAATGTAAAGGTAAACAACTTAAGCATGTTTGTAGTGCTTATAAGCTGATCAGACCTGGTAGGATCGGCATCGTCTCTAAGCCACCAAGCACGCGCTGGTGGATTTGCATCCACGTCACACCTGAGCGCCGCCGCGCTGCCGGCTGATAATGATACTCCGAATCCGGGCCAACGGGAGATCACAAAGGAAGGAGGATCTGGATTGGAGAAGATATAAATTCATTCAAACTGGTTTCGAAAAGCAAATCTATAACTTTGGATCTAGCCATGTTATACCTGGCTAAATATAAACATGTTATATATTAAAAATTCAGATTATAGTCTGATTAAAAGCAAAATTAAGAAAATTCCAAAATACCTCAGATATAACTTGCAATTTGATGGTATATGATGGATTTAATGAATTAGTTTAGAACATAAATAAAATGTTAATGCATTTATGTATTTTATAAGAAGTGTATATGAATATTACTTTATCTGTTGTAGTTCCAACTCACAAGTGACGTGTATTTCTAATTTAGCTGTATACGTGTCAGCCGCGGCAGGAGCAGGCACTGTAGCGGGTGTCCTCTGTCGCGCCTGGCACTGCAACGTGGCATTATGGAGCTCGCGAGCTGCCGTCACCACCGCGTGCGAAAGGGACACACCCTCTATCGGACACAATAAATAAACCAACATAAAGTTATAAAAATGCGGAACAATAATAATAATAATAATAATAAAATACTTTATTGCACTCAATATGATACATAGTTTACAAAAAGCTTAATATCTAAGAGATTGAGTAAACAAATGGCGGCCTTATTGCTAAACAGCAATTTCTTCCAGGCAACCTAAGGTGAAAATGGATAAAAAATAAAGATACTATGGGGAGTGGGTGCAATATAGAGAAGGATAAATAAATAAATAGCGTTAATATATTATAATAAACAAAAAAATAAATGTATACATATGAAATGAATTAAACAGTTTAATAGTGAAAGAATAATATGAAAATAGTTTTAAGATGTGGAAAGGAAATAATTTCTAACTTCATCGCTAAAGGATCCCAATGATCGAGCCCTCCTGATACCCTCTGGAAGAGAATTCCACAGACGCACAGCATGCACAGCAAAAGAATAAGAATAGAAATCTGTATAGTGACGAGGGATTTCGAGAGTGAGGTTTGAAGAGGAACGTAATGTACATTGTGATGAAGAGGAGCGAAAAGAGAATGATTGTTTAAGATATGGTGGAGATGATGGGAGGAAAAGTATAGAGTAAAGAACCGTGAGAGTATGCAAGTCCCTGCGTCGGCGAATAGGAAGCCAATTTAACTTTGAACGGTAATACGACACATGGTCATATTTTCGAAGATTGAAAATAAATCTAATGCATACATTCTGCAGACGCTCTAGTTTGGTGAGAAGTTCTTCTGAGAGATCTGTATAGCACACATCAGCGTAGTCGATAATAGACAACATTAGGGAATGTGCCAAAGTGATTTTGGTACTGATCGGCAAAAAATTACGCAGACGACTCAGTGAACCATACGCAGCAAACACCCTCTTTCTGACTGATTCCACCTGAGGCTTCCAAGAAAACTGTTGGTCAAAAATAACTCCAAGGTTTCTGACTGTTTCGGAATAAGGGATAACAGTACCGTCGAAAATGATAGAAGGCAGCTCACTAAAGTCGATCCGGGAAACGAAATGACGACTGCCTATTACTATAGTTTGAGTTTTAGATGGATTAACTATTAGACCGTATGATTTACTCCAGGCACTGATAAGTGACAGATTAGAATTAGTAACCAAAACAGCCCTCGAGAGGCTAGTTAACGGTGCCTGAGTATAGATCTGGAGGTCATCAGCGTAAAGGTGATAGGAACATGAAAGAGACTGTGTGATGGAATTTATAAAAATAGAAAAAAGCAGAGGAGATAAGACGCCACCCTGAGGAACACCGGCATCAATATCACACCACGCAGACACTGTATCGTCAACACGAATACGTTGCCGGCGCCCTAGCAGGTAACTTCGAAACCAATCAATTGCAGCCGGAGATATATTAAGAGAAGCCATGACACCGAGAAAAATGTCAAAATCAACGGAGTTGAAGGCGTTACTAAAATCAAGTAACGTTAACAGCGTGAGCTGTTTGTTCTCCATACCCCATCTAATATCATCGGTAATCTTAATCAGCGCAGTAGTAGTGCTATGGCCCGAACGGAAACCAGACTGAAAAGGATTGAGGATTTGGTTGGAAGTAAGGAAAGCAGTAAGCTGCTGAGAGACAAGTTTCTCAAGAACTTTGGAAAGAAAAGGAAGAATAGAAATAGGACGATATTCGGAGAATTCGGTAGGGTTTGATTTTTTCGGAAGTGGAATGACGTTTGCATCTTTCCAGGATGTGGGAAAAACTCCAGTCAAAACTGAAGTATTTAGGATTTTGGTAATTATGGGGCACAGGATATCAATAATGGGTAGGATCATATTGCGACTGATAGAATCACTACCCACTGCACTGGAAGTAATAGATAAAATAGCTCTCTTAACACCACAGTCCGCAAATTGATGCATGAAAAAGGGGGAGTTAAGAGTTGGTAAATTCGAAAGATGATGCAGAGTTTCTGCCTTACAGTTTCCATCAATAGGAGACGAGGTGGTGAAGTGACTATTAAGTTGATTGATATCAAGTTTAGGAGAATTACAGCTACGTGTTTTACCAACCCCAAGTGACCGCAGAAACTTCCAAACTTTTCCCGGGTCATCGTTTTCAACAGATTTGTGAATATGGCGTCTCTGGGCGTCCCTTATCACAGTGTTACACCTATTTCTAGCGCGATTGTATTTCATCTCGTTTCGCTTCGAAGGATCGTGTTTAAATTTAGTTTTGGCCCTATTTCTCACTGCCATCAAACCCCGAATATCCTCCGTTAACCAGGGAGCAGGAAGGTGTTTAATTTTGATAGGACGTATTGGAGCATGCTTGTCGTAGAGTTCAATGATTAATTTGTTAAAATGCTCAACTTGTTCATCAACATCATTAGACGTAAAGATAGCCGACCAGTCTTTGTCGGCAGCATCTTCAATTAGCTGGTCTTGGTTAATGCTTGCGAAACTACGCTGAAGTCTGACAGTTGGTTTTAGTTTCGGAGGTCGAACCCGGTAAGAAACATATACCAAGTCGTGATAGGAAAAAGCGTCTGCAGAATATTGCCCGTGCTTAACAGCTAATGAAGGAGATGAGACGATTACTAAGTCAAGTAAAGAGGGAGAACAATTGGGGAAATGATGAGTTTCTTTTAAAGGAAGGATATGCAAATTTGAGGAGTTTACAATTGAATATAATTTCTTAGAACGCAGGTCATCTTTAATAAGGCATGTATTGAAGTCACCCATAATTATAGTGTGACTGTAAGAAGGCACAAAATGTTCAAGGAGTAATTCGAATGACTCGAAGTAATCAATACGAAGTGAGGGACTATAAAATACACCTAAAAGAACTTTAGTGTACGAGAGTGATACCTCAAGTAAGAGATGCTCGGCGCTATTGGGGGGTGGAGGCTGAGGAGATCTACTGAGTATAGAAAAAGGAATATGCAATCGCAGATAAATAGCCACCCCACCATGAGAAGAACTCACACGGTCATTACGGATCAACTGGAAGCCAGGTAAAGAATAGGAAGTCGATGAGAGACGAGGATTAAGGAACGTTTCAGAAATAAGAATAGCGTGGATGTTTTTACAAGTGAAAGAAGTAAGCATGTCTGGAAAATGAGCTGGGACACTTTGTGCGTTAATATGAACCACATTAAAGTTTTTAGCAGCATTACAGAAGGTATCATCTAAAAGCTCGCTCAAAGGGCGATCTGAACTATGAAAGCTAGAGTTCGATTCAGAAGAAGAAGAGGAAGATAGAAAAAGATCACTATCTAATGAATCCATGTCAAATATAATATAAAAATAAACTAAATAAAAATCTAAATATGTATACACTACTTACATATATAAATACCCACAGGTTGTCTGAAAGTACCTAATATATTACAATACATTTATACGTACACAACATCTTAACAAATAGAAGAAACGAAAGCAACAAATACACTCAACGGATATCAAACAGTCGTATTCATCAAAGCTGATAGAAGCAGGAAACACATAACAGCTGTACAAAGTTCATAAATGTGCCCCCGCCTTAATATTTTAAGTAGAATACTGCTTAAGGCTGTATGGGCTAATATCCCTACGCCTTAAATAAAATAAGAGATTAAAGTGACATGAACAGCTCAAAATGACAAGTGGAAGATATAAAGATATAAACATGTAAATAGAATGAATTTATAATAATTGTGTTTGTGGTAAACGGGTAAACTAACAAAAATTTATCGTTATTGATGGTGAAAAATAAACAAGATATAAAAATAGTTATACAGGAGTTGACAATATTAATGTAAGGTACTTATACGTAAAGATTTTGACAAATTGGTAAACACAAACCTACAATTTACTTCCTCTTTGCAGAGACCGCACGTTTGCCCCTTACGCCAGTGGATGATATACCTGTTGCTTGTCCTTTATTAGAAGAAGGCTGCAGCTTCTTCGCAGGCTCAATCGCACCCAATCTTTCAACATCGGTCAGAGACAGTATTCGATGTCGCTTGCCTTCCCCATCAATAGCAAAAATGCGCCCGGCATTGGTCCAACACTTTGATACGCCAAACCGTTCACGAGCCGCAACAAATATTTTATGTCGGTGTTTCGTAAGGAACTCGGACATTGTAATGCCAGAACCCTTTAGACCAGTTTTTATAGACCACAGTTTGTCTCGGACTGCTTCCACACGCAGCGCAACTAGTAGTGGTCGTGGCCTATCCTGCCGAGCCCGACCCATCCTTACTATCCGGCCCACATCACCAGCCATTACTTGAGCCGCCGGAAGGTGCTGTGATGCAATTCTCAAAAACAGTTCAGTTGGGTCCTCATCCTGAGTTTCTGGTACACCATGAAGTAACAATATACCACGGCGAGTTTGCATCTCAGTACTGTCACACTGGGTAGCCAACACAGCAAGCTGCTTCTCAAGGCTCTTGAACATTGCTAACACGAAGCCTCGAAAATCTTCAAACTCCTGTGCCAGAGTAGACAGCGAAGACGGTTGTGGGGCAGTGGTCTTCTGAAGCTTGTTCTCAAATGCAGTCATCCTCTCAGAAAAAGTATGTGAAAACGACTCAACAATGCTTCTGATATCCTCCATTTTTGTGCAAATTCACAGTGTTAGAGTGCAGTTAAAATATCTAGTGCAAATAATGTTGTGTAGAGGAGATAACAGCTGCAGGTATTAAACACTATCAGTACATACTTTTAGCAAGGATATTATAGAGATTTATAATGCAATAGTATTTTTAAAATAAATAATTTGCTAGAGCTAATTAAAATATGTGTACTCTCTTTTCTGCCTACCCACTATTTTGAACTATTTTGAACAAGAATGCCACAATAGTATACCCCAGCAGTCAACAGATGGACTGCGTAGACTTGCATTTAGGACTCTCAAATTTTGTAAAGTTTTATATATATTTTGTTTTACGTAAGTAAAACTGCATGCTTGGATCTCACACCAACTGCATATTTTATAACTACAGCGTATTTTCAACTTTAGTATTGAGATAAAAATACAACTGTTGATCTCCGCTTCTAACCCGTAACTCGTAAAACGTTTAAATATTATATATTTATTCCGGGTCTCTCAAAAATTTGAACAGATATCCGGACTTATTTGCCGACTCTTGGTAAACCCCATCACGAAGTTGGCACTGAGCTTATTATCCCTTTCATCCGTGACAAACTATCTAAGGTACCGGATATCATATCCCAATTTATGCATTTTTCTCTCTAGACAAGACTAACTCATACCCTAATATTTGTCCAAGTTGCCTTAATTTGTAACCTTGTGGTCATTGACGTAACGTGCCTTAGAGGGTCACTATATTAAAATTTGTTGAGAAGCCCAAATGAAAGGCAAAAATTTTTGTTTTAATGTTATGGGCCTGTGTAGCCGGTAGACACTGTATCAATGATACAGCTGATACAGCGAGAGCTATGCCCCTGCTAGTGGTACATAATAAATTATGTACTTCGGTTCTAAAACCATATACAGACAAAGCAGTGAATGTACGTTTTTCTTACCTATAGAATAGTTAGTATTATGTATCCTTAGATAAGGCCGGTGGTCCAGCGATGGTTCCAAGGCCAGCAATCGCCAAGATAATTCCGGAGGAGGTACACCACCTTTACAGAACGATAAAAATGCTTTTAAAATATATAAACTACACATCAAACGCGGGTTATCGAGCCGGGTGAGGGACTGGCTGCAATTGCAAGTAATTCTCTAATAATATCAACTGAAATTTATGTTTTATAACAGACTGTAAATAAAGGGTTATATTTTTCGAACGTATCTTTTATATACGTATATAATATTCTTTATTACCTCATTTCTTTAGAACTGCTGAAGGGATTTAGACAATTGAGGCATCGATAGATTTGTCATAGTAGTCCAAGTGATAAACCAATATCGCATATGATGAAAACTTTTGACTTTGAATAAAAAAAACGAACTAAGTTTTAGCCAATCAGTAATACAATTTGTTTCTATTATGAGTAATTTTAGTTCGTAGGCAGTCGGTTACACTAACAACAAAATAATTACCATCTTATGATTTTAATGTGACATGCAATAAATTATTTGATTTGATTAGTCTTCTTTAATTGTTATTGATAAAAAATATCCTGCAATCGTGACCTATATCTGAAATAACAACCTTTCTTGTAATATACAGCATTACTTGCTTCTTAAAGAATGCAATGACCCATTTCAATGATATTCAACCAGTCCATTTTAAGGAATGGAATTCGCTGTCTCGGTATTTCCACGATCTCTCGGAATTTTCGAAATTGGCTTGGGGTTTTTAATTTGGTATCAAATGCTTAATTCTAGAATTATTCTCGGTATTATTAGCGATCAATGGGGATGACTAAAATTTTTTTTTCATTCATTGCCAACACATGATAATATAAAATAAGGCCCAAAACACTTGTAGTTTCTGCCTTGGCTAGAAATCTGGCGCTGATATATGACTCAAAGTGAAGAACATTCAAGACGAAAAATATATGATATATGGAAAAAAATAAGAAGGTATCAAATTAAAATCAAGTCATTAAAAAATATTAAATGGCTCAGCAGTTGCAGTGATCACGATAACCATGCGAGGCCCGCGAGGTTCAAGCTCACACACCGCTGTAAGCAGGCTTGAAGCGAGCGGACGACTACTGCCATTGCCATTTAAATATATGACGTAGCCGTAGTTTCTCCTCTTAGGTAAAAAAATGTTCAAGATCCGATCAATATTTCCGAAGATAATTCTCTACTATCAACAAACAAACAGTATACTCGTAGATATAGTTAATGGTCAAATTTAAATGCCTAGTAAATCGTTGGGTTGGACCCGTGTATGCTATGACTATTACGGACGCACGTCTCGTCGAGTTGTATATATTAGATGATCTTAAGTAAATAATATATAATAAGTAGGTTTAGTCAAATGTATGTAGTCAAAGGTAATATGAAACGATACAAACTCTGGGTGTATTTATTCCCATAATGTTAAGGTAATTTAAGTTATAGCATAAGCTAATTAAATGATTATGAAGGGTTGAATTTTAATTTCCTATGGTATTGTTCTCTTTAAGGTATTGCCTCGCTAAGGAGGCTTAGGTGGCTCTCTGTATGGCATTGCCTCACTAAAGGGGGCTAATGTTGTTAACATGATTTGTAATGTAAATAATAAGAAAAACAGTAAAATGTATTAGTTAACGATAATGTGATACATAGATGTTAAGAGTGAGGGGTGACTTCGCCAAGTAGGGGTAAAATATGTAATAAGTTAACAAACTGGTTATGTACGGAGCTAAGTGCGAGCCACCCCAGCAAATTTGAGCGATTTGAGCAATTTTTGTAAGCTCTCTTTTCTTAAATAAAGAAGAAGTGAAAATTATCGAAGGAGTTTTAATTCTACAGTCCAGCATACCCAACATAATAATTAAATATGGGGTAGAGGCACTAGTGTATTTAACGATTACTTACCTTCAGCAACACACCTGACCTCTAGTACTGTCTTGTCCCGGACTGGCACCCATGTATTTCCTGCGTCTAAACGTCGTCCGTCCACCGCCAGGTATACAGAACGAACTGGTTCTAAACAAACCAAAAAAGAGTTTACAATCTTACAGAACAAAAATCCACTATAATACAGAGGACCTACTCTGGTCAGGTCTTACCTCCGTTGTATTATAAATTATCGATAAACGCATTTATTTGGAGTCGTATTAGCATTAGCAATGAAATTTAAAGACTTTTAGAAATATTTGTCATCGTCTGATCAGAATCCTGGACAATTTACCATATATTAGCAACTGCGTGGGCTTCCCTGAAACAGTCTTCCCGGCTTTATCAACTCCGGCGCATCTCCACGCGCCAGCGTCCGCTCTAGTTGCTCTTCCCATCACAGCATCTGATCCTTCCCGCCACACCCCTTCCGCCGAAGAAGGGGATGAAGATAGAGACATAAGCTAGGGACAAGAACAATCATTTGGGTTTTGAAGGAACCTGGTAGTGTCACAACATGTTATAAGGGAATCCTCTATTGCTTTAGTCTGAATGAGATAAATTCAAAACTTTCGAAAGTGTTTCACAAATGGAGTCTGTAACGGAGTGGTTTGTTCGCCGGTTGTTGCCACCTTTAAGGACCCGGGTACGATCTCTGGTCGGGTCAATGTAGAAAATGTACTTATGTATACTGTGGCACCTTCATTGTCTCAGATACTCCAAATACGAGTTCTTTAGCTACTCATCTCGGAATCAAAGCAATATATTTTGTTTTATCTAATAAATAAATAGGGTATAAATAAAAATATGTAACTTTTTGATTTTTGATTTAACGACCTGGGGCTCGACCGCCTAAATCATGGACGTATCCGTAATCGAAGCTATAACCTACGCTTTATCGATATTTCTCATAAATCATGAAATTAATGGTTTTTAATTTATATATTTTATCAAACGTTTTGGTTTGTTTTTCTTTTCGATATAGTAATATTTTGTAAATTTCGTTTAACTTTAATAATTCAGTAAACAAAAATAACCAAAAGAACTCATTAAACATGTAAATGATAAACTATTAATTTTAAAACAATATCAACGGATTTATGTGAACCCCTATAAAGCGTAGGTTATAGCTCCGACCACGGCTACGTTCATGAGTTACGCGGTCACGCCCCTGAAGGGTCACGATATGCGCTAGATGATAAACTTAACGGAATAAAAAACAGACAAGAAGAGATATGACGAAGAGAAACTTTTACGATTAGACAAAAAGCATTTCAGGAATCTGGCAATGATTCAAGAATTTGAACTTTGTTTAAAAGACGTTTGCACATAAATAAATAAAAATTTGAAAGAACAGAAAAGAAACTCATATCACGACGCAAATACTTACCTTGATAAAAGACAAACAAACTATTGGTAGACTAATCTGATTGTAAGCGATTATTTTTTGCTTGATTATTGCACCGCCTTTCTAAAGCTCTGTGCTACAAATCTCCGGTTATTCAACCGGAGATTTACTTATTGGCATTAAGTCCGCAATTTGTTCATTTAATTCAAATCATCCAGCAAAATTTTTTACCAATTCTATTTAATAGTTGTCTAAAGCTTAATAATAGCAAAATACGAGTATACCTACATACTTAATTCATAATAAGCATTAACTACTGTCTCTAAGCTAGACGTTTATTTATTTTCAACTATCATTCATCAAACTTTGAGGATTCTGGTAAACATGACATAATTAAATAAAATAAACTAGTAACAACATCTCTTAAGAAATCAGAAGTTTCTTGTTAGAAAATTTGTAAATAAAACCACCATACTAATGTTCTAAAGAGAATCGTACACTGGTGATGTTGTAAAGGAGCTCTAGTAACGCAAATAAACACAAAGAGGCTATTTTAATGGCCTCTTGGACAAGCGAGGAAGATCGCGGCGTCGTACTTTGCAAATCTTTTGTGCATTTCTCGTAGATTGAGAAGAGAAATTCATCTACAATGACAATGGCTAATTTACATATTTGCCAGGCATTTTGGTCATTACATACAATTTAATGCCCTAGATAATAATTAATCCATTTTGTTATTAACTGCAGTAGAAATAATAATTTACCGATTACCATGATTTCTAGTTTTTGGTATATTTCTTAGTTTATAAAAGTCTTATCATGTAATGCTCAGGTAATTTTGCTTAAGAACCACACTGCTTCGACAAGCTTAAGTGCTAAATTAAGAATTTATATCAATTGCAATTCTTTGTTGGATTGGCCAGTAGGAATATTTGATTTGGATTTTTACGACTCAAACTTTTAAAAACAGTGGTCATTCTTTAATGCAATTATTAACAAATAATGCGGATCACTTGGCGAATAATTATGTTACTTATTCTCGCTCATAAAAAACTGAAAAATGAGATAAAATAAATATAGAATGTGCATGGTGAAAATGTGCAAAAACTGAACAACTAAAACATATTGACAACTCTCTTAATTGCACCTAAGGCATTGAAAACTAGGACTATTCTTACCTCATTGTCCTTGTACCAGCGCAGGTTTGTGATATTGACCAGGTCGCAAGGGATACGTGCCTTTGAATGAGCCTCCACTAACAGCTCGCGTTCACTCCGAGGCGCCTACACACAAAGAGTTTATAGGTTATATACAAATAAACTTACGTAAGGTGGAAAGTTGTTATTCAAGTCAGTCAAGATAGCTTGTTCGTATTCATCTTCTTCTGCATAAATTATAACGTTTGGCACCCGCATATGATATAGCTTATCATAGGTGAAAGAATTTTCATGATACCACAGGTTAGTAATTTATAGTCATACTGGTAATTATATCTTCTTCAGAAAAGACAGAATATGTGACAAATAAAATCATGAATTTTAAAACAATTTCTGAATTACTAAGACCGATGACATTCCCATTAATAAAGTGATTTAAAATCATTCATCTGATAGAGAAATCCAATTCATTAACATGAGTCGTAATAATTACGTTTTCATTTCCTTCAGATTGGTATTAGCAAGGAGACTTGTTTGTCATCTGAAGACCTTAAAGCCATTTATCACTACATTCAACGACACTAATCACTTTCCGTCCTTTCACTGTGGTCCTTTAGAAATGGCTACCACTATTTCATATTCCAACAGTTTTCAATGCTAAGATGGTAAGTACTAAACGAGGTCTGAAGTAATTCCTCGGTCTCGAGGACTCGGAGACGGCAAAGCGGCTTACAGAGAATGACTATCGATTGCTAAGTCGCAAACAGAAAAATAAACGGAGCCTTCCCAAAGATTCCTTTTGCGAATTATCGTAGTCATAATATGGAAAAACAAGCCGATTTAGATACGAGCTTGAGACCGGCGGGATATTCTTGCAGCACAAGCTTTAATGTTTCTTGTTATCAAATAGATTTGCTTTCATATTACTTTTTTTCGAAGGTTCATATAGATACTTGGCATTTTGAAAATTAAGCAATAACATTCGAAATACCTTCTGATTAAAAGGACAGTCTTATGACTTTTATATAGTACAGCTGTATTATATTAATATTTATTTTAGTAGTTGTATTTATTAAATACTTCCTCAGCACAAGTGCCTAAAAGTAGCATATTGAATTAATCTTCGAAACTGTTAAGGTTACTAAAGCGATCGCGCACATTCACATACATTAATTTTCAACTTGTTTAATACAAATAAATAACGTCAAAATAAGCTGTAATTGAAAATGAGAAAACAACATTAATTCCTAAGAGTTCTGTCAGAGCCAAAACGCGAATCAATAAAATCAATCTCCATAAAGAAAACACAAAGCAGCCTTTAAAATTCACCACCACATTATAAGGAAAATTGATAACTATGAGAGTCACTGTAGCCGAATAAAGAAATTATACAACACTTATAACAATAATGAGGAATGTTATCGTTTTTTGATTTCTACGTTATAGTATATACTCTATTAAAAAAAAAGTAAAAATTATTTTTCCGTTACGTCGTATAGTTTTCGAGATATTCAATTTTTAATGACGCGAGGTCGCCGCTCGCTGCTGTGACGTCACTTTATCACACTCGCTTAGCGGGCACAACACTCCCCAATACTTCTGACCTATGCTTGGTCAGAAATTATTTAACATGTCGAATCCATAAACAAGGAAAACATTTATTGTGTAACGCTCTTTACGTCTCTCAAACGAATGCCAAGTTTCAGATGGATATGCAACCCATGTACACATAGTTCTTAAAAAATTCACATAAATTATTCTTACTGAGCTAACCCAAGACTACGTCGACATACGTCTCAGTATGCACTATATCACCCTTGTTCATAGAACGTCAATCATTTAGTGAAGTAGATACTTGAAGTTCATATTCGAATATATCGTAATTTATTACATCACTTTCGATATTTCACAACCACTAATAATAAAGTAAGACGGTGTTATTAAAAATAAAACGTTTAACTATTTTTGGAATTGGTAACTTCTATACTGGCTCCGAAACAAAAAAAAATGAATGTATCCTCCTTCTATAGCAATAGGTGAAAAGCTCGATGGTGTTGGACCTGCGACTGCTGAGGTTAAGCGATGATTGCAAAGGCCGGTAATCGGACGGGATGTAAATTATTTTTTTTGTTGGCGGGGTGATTTAGGTCGACCACGCGGGCTCAGTATTAGTTGCTAGGTGGATTGGAGTCATCAATTACGAATACCTATTATTTAGCACTACCACATGGGCGGCATACGACATATAGTTATTGTCGTCAAGAAACTGGACCAATGCATAAGTGAAACAGTACTGCGAGTGCGGCGCGTTGTAACGTGACGTCACGCATCCATAGCGCACCAAGCCAAAATTTTATAAAAGGCAGAAATTAAAACAACCATGGCTTCAATTCTACTCACTTAGTTTTTATGAATTTATTTTATGAAATAAAAACAGATGTATTTCTAAATGTGAAGACTACACGATTCGACGGTCCCATTGATGTACGGAACATCTTACGTTGTAATGGTAAAATAAATACCTGTGCATTATTAACTGGTGCCGGCTGATCTTGTAGATGTGGTCTCTTGGCATGCGCTGGTCGTATCACGAAGGTGTCGAGACGGGAGGAGGCGCGGGGTCCAGGGGCTGCACCCGCATCACCTATAGCATCTCGTACTGCCCCGCGAATGTTCAGGATCGTATCACCGGTCTTCACTCGTCTGTCTGCTGGCTATAGAATGTCAATAAAAATAATGTATGCCTATCAGAAAACTAAAGTCACTCAGATGGGCAGATGACCCGACCGTTTTAATCTGGTTTGTATTTAAGAGTTACGAGGAAGATGAACTTTAACTTAAAATAGCTGGTAGATGTAATAGTTATGTCATAGTGCAACATTTTAGAAACCGTTCACAGTAAAGTAATATAATGCCTATGCGTTATTAAGCACACCATGACGTGTCAAAGAAGCTTGATGGCACAGTGGCTAGCGCGCTCGGTCTGCGATACGGTTATTAATCAACTTTCGTATTGGCTGGTCATTGGATGGTCATTGGACCAAAAATTTATTATATTGAATTACCCCGTACTTCAAAGGCACTGTACTTCGTCGTTTATCTACAATCGTTAATCCGCTACCAATCCGCACTGGACCTGCATGGTGAGTAATGACCCATTTTCCCTATTCGTTTGAATTCCATATATAGCGAAGGCCTGAACCCCAGCAATAGGAACACTAATAGGCTGATGATGACGTGCCAATAGTCAAAAAAAGGACAATGGCCTAAATTGCCTTACTCGACCGACAAAGCCCGAACTTGGCTCAATTCCGCTCATAGCTTTTGGACGTTATTTCCATGTATATGTCAAAACATTAAGGCTTATTGCTTATCCATAAGGTCTGTCAAGTGTGTCACAGAAGTAGTCGTCAATCGCTAGAACCATCCATAGACTGTCCAAGATAGAAACTCAGATCAGAAGAGTGCCATACAATCAAATTTGTTGATAGAAAAGAAAATATTGCAGCAACATCACGGTTCACTATCTCCTCTAAAATAACAAAACCTAACTAACCCTGATATTTAAGGATACGAAAGTTTAATAGAAATTGGATTAATTAGGCTCCAGCAAAAGTTCATTAATTAACATCGAAGCTTTGACGTAGTTTGTTAATTTAGTAGTCCCAAAACAAAATTATTCAATTGTGATAAATCTGTTGTATCATTTTGTAAATACTCTAATAAAATTTCATACTTTGCTGACCGCAACTTTGTTCTCACATGTTTTAAAAGAAATATGATTAAACGCCTTTTCTTAGTTATCTAGAGAATCTAAAAGACAATCTGAGAGGATTAATATTCATTTTAACGTTTACTTTTTAGACAATAATTATGCAACATACCTTAGCCGTTTTATCCCATTTCTGTCCGCTGCTTCTCTTCGATCGTTCCTCACTATCACTACTATGAGCTTCTACTTTGCTTTGTACCTTCGTTTCATCGTCAGTCTCTAATGATTTAGCACTACTGAGGTCTTGTGGTGTCACCAAAATGTGATTCTCTTCAATACTAGTCTCTAAGTCATTGTAGGATTGTTCTTCATCAGTTGTGTCAAGATGGTCGGATTCTTCGGTGTCCTGTCGAAATACGAATACAATTAGTATCTCAGTTTTAGAATTTGAATTTTATAATGTTCAAATTTCGGAGGCACAACGAAATTTTAAAAATTATAAAGGCGTTTTACTTGGATTCTTAATTAACATTGGAATAATTAACGTTGGTTTCTTAGGCTCCGTTATAACGCGCCAACTACTGTGACTGTGGCTATTATATGTCACGTCTTTTAATGCCATACAAATCATTTACGTTTGTATTCGGTGGTCACCACGGTTGATGGATGCTACAATTTGTAAGACTCTTCTACTGTACAGTTTTAAGATAAATTCTGAAACAACATTGTTTGCGCTAGTTCGATATAATTCTAAAACGATATAGACATTAATTTATCTGAAGGAAAATGAGAACAAGACACAACGGCGACGTATGAAGCAAAAGTCGGTTTTTAAGTAACGATGCGTTGCCACTGATGGTGTGTCGCGGTGACAGGCGTTAGTCTACGGCCGTGTCCTACGTAAACGACCCCAAACGCAAACGCGATTGCAAATTGAGAATCCCTCCCATTTGCGATACAATAATAAACGGATGTGATTTTTAATCCTTTTGTTCCATAATTTCGGATAGCATTAATTAAAATGTCTGCTTCTTACATTGTATTAATTTGAATTACAATGTCAAAAGCCTAAAAAAGCTCGCGCAAAAATATCAAACCGACTGATCGTGTTCGTTTCACATCGTACATGCGTTTGTTCACGTAGATCACTTCAATATATATCTACTGTTTGTTGCATTGTTTAGATCTCTAACGCAGGACGCTGCGTACCGGTAGCGGCCACATGACTCGCTTGCGTCTTGAACATGTTGTCAGTTTATTGAATATATGTAATATCTTAAAAGGCGATGGATCTCTTACTTGTAGAGGTGGGTAAAGGGGTCCATCGCGGACAAGCTCAGCTGCGTCCACGAGAGGTTCAGGAACAGAGGCAGGTACAGGGGCAGGGGCGCGTTCTGAGCTACTCCACTCAGTGCTGCCAGTCAGAGGGAAGCCTGCGAACAACAATAGTGTCGAATACATAAAAAATCTTTTCGTTTTAGGAATGAAGGGTTTTAGATTGAAGTTATCCGATCAGCAGAGATAGTGTACCTATACAGGGTTATATGACAGCAACCTTGCAGGGCTAATTATCCAAGACCATGAACAGCAACGGTCTTTCTACTACATTTGACTTTCATACAAAAATTAAAATTATTTTAATTTAATGCTCAAATGTTGTTAACTCTACGCGTAAAATCATTACGCAGGTACTTTACGCAGTGCATAAGAGTAGCGTAGCCCTTTTGATTATGAGTGAAACAAACACCCTGTTTCCGAATTGAGAAATTAAAGTTAAGAACGTCTGAAACTGTACATAAACAAGTTATCGTTTCTGATTGTTGATTTTGTTAGTGATCAGTTGAGATTTTGTACTTTTCTCAGTTCAAAAACCGGCTGATAGACGTGCCAATCTCGCGACATAACAAGTATATTTGTTTAAATATTGAGTTATGTTGAAAATCGTATACCAAATATTTTTATTGATGATGTTAGCTATGTTATTAGTCATGCGAGGTTTCTTATGTTTTGCGAATGACCCTGTATATGTATATAGATATTTAAGTTATGAAATCTAAAATATAAAACTTTCTCCAACATCACCCGATCAACCTATAGTCAATTCCGATAAAGGTTTCGAACAAAGAGTCACAGGATCGGGACTCGAGAGCAGTCCCCTAACTGCCGCCAACTTCCATCTGAGCACCGAATGACCCCGTAATTGTAGGCGAGGAACTTTGCGAGGGTCCCCGAAAGGCGATCTTATTAGAGATTATTTCTAAATAAACATCAATTACAGACGGATCAAAGGAACTAATTGGCTCAGAAAAAACATAAATACCTAATAAGATTCAAATCTTTACTATAGTCCAAGCGCTGGTAGATATTTTTCGAGAACCTGACAACGAAATTAAGTTATTTAACGTCAAAAGTCCAAATCCTAAAATATATTTTTCGCGAATGTCGCTGTTTCAAATTCCCAATTATGTCATAAGCCGATAAAGAAAACAACGTTACCCCTAAAATGCGCTGTTTTTCGTAATGATTCTCTTTTTATAAGGAGAATTATTTTATAGCCTAAGGCTATGCGCAACATTTTTAGAATGAAATTTCGTTTAGTTATTTCAAAATAGATTTAAAGTCTTAACTTTTAATTATTATTAATAGGATAACTTAATTTATTTAAAAAGCAAAATTTCCATTCTCTTTTTGGACATTTCTTTTACTATTATACTAGCTGTTGTTCCGTGACTTCGCACACTTAAATTATAGCCTATGATGTAGCTACCCCTAAGTGAAAGAATTTTTAAAATGGGTTGAGTAATTTCGAGCCTATTTAATGCAAACATACAATCAAATCTTTCCTGTTTATAGCACTGGTATAGATTATAATTCTATTTGAAAAATAACTTAAATTTAATGAAATGTAGCCTATATTACCTGTTAATAATAAAGCTTTAAATAAATGAAAGAATTTTTGATATCAGTTCACTAGTTTTTAAGTTTGACAATAACAAACAAGACTAATGTGCAAAAATCCAGATAGAAAATACTAAGTGTCTAAAATGAAATAGAACTTGAATATTTAATGTATTATGAGAGTTTCCTCAAACTTCATGTGGCGTATAATTTAAATGAACATTTCGTATATTCAGAAATCCACACAGCATTTCCTGTTTCTCTTAAATGTAATTCTCTTCATGAGAACAAAACATTTCCAAGCTTCACCTGAGACAGAGAATAAACTCACACTTAGTTTTTTAGTGTACTAAATTTAAGCATTGAAAATATTTATTATGAAATGTTTTAACTAAGGTGAACGCAGGTATTACCGCGATAGTCGAAAATCTGCAGGTATCATCGAGGTAAGCGATATAATTGTAGTTTTAGGCAATTGCAGGCCTATTTTACTCAAAAAGTTAAACTTTTATGAAAGATCAATTTATATTCGTTTGAATGGACCCGCGGCACACTATGCACAACAAATCAGAAAAACAAAAAAACTATTAGTTTGCGTCCAGCCGGTGCCGGAATATGACGTCCATATAAACGCAAGTTACTATACGTAAGTGCACTCAATATTTTGCTTAGGATTGAAGAGTCTAAAATAAACCATATATACAGATTCAAACTAGGTCACAAGGTGGATTTTAGTTTCATCCATTATTATATCATATTATATAAGCCGAGAGACGCCCACTGCTGGGCATAGCCATTATTGTAATTATTTATTTTTTCTTTGTATTGCATTATTTTTCGACAGTAAATGAAAATAAAGTACCGCGGTGATAGCTTCACAATTATCTTCTTGAATTTATTGACCGCAGTATACTCGGTAATAGCATAAATATATACTAATAGTTATATTGTTTTTTTTTTAAGAAAATTCAATATTAAAGCAATACAGATGCTTTGGTTATTCATTCAGATAATTAGGTAATTATCGTAAAAAAAACAATTTCCGCGGTATGAAAATTGTGTTAGAACTCTTATTTTGTTGTACTAAACTAAACCATGAAAAATTAACTTTGTATGAGAGCACTAAATTAATACGACATGAAACCATAAAAATTCAAAAATCTTTTCTATGTTAAGGTAACTTTATTAGTCATCTTTTAACTTTTGTATTGTTAAAAGTTAACCAAATTTTATCCCTTGGAATTACATTATTTACACTATTGCGGATGAAGCTATCACCGATGGTGAAAACAAGCTATCAATCGGTAATACCTTGTTCACGAAGCTATCAGCAAGTGTTATTACTCGGTATTAACTTTACTATAGAATTCTAATACCGATTGTTAATAGCAGTTATTCTTGAGTTTAGGGTTCTCTAGAAACAAATAAGTACCTCATGTGTAATTCAAAACCCTACTTTAACCTATACCTACCTATTTTTCTAACTCAGGATTTAATTTTTGCGTAACAATTACGTAACAATTTCGGTCAAAATAACATGATGATCATACGAAAAATAAGTTTCTATTAAATAGATATTTATTTATTTATTAAGGTTATCAAGAATATCAAACTTGATACATAAGTGCCATTATAATAATAATAGTAGGTAATAAGTCCGTAATATAGTGATTTTCATAAAAAACTTTATCGGAGTTAAAAATTGTTGATTGAAACTTAGAATAGAATTTAACTAAAGATTTTGTACGGAACCAACATGCCTATAATTTTTCTACCCTCATTAATAGAATCACGAATCGCGGTATTTGCTGCAAAGACTTAAGCATACCTCGATAACATCTTCATCCGTATTTTTTTTTTTCTTTACATGTTTCCTGAAAAACTAACTACATATTTATAAATTCCAAAAGTTCAAACCTCTACGTATCAAAAAAAATATACTTGTTACTGTTTTTACGATAAAAAATTCTTGCCTTGATTTTTACCTCGGTAATACCTGCGTTTACCTTAATATGCTTATTTATATACATATATTACTCACCTATTTAGAATAAAATAATCTTAATATTGTTTTAAAGTTTAAAGTTGGTCTCATTTTTTTGATTATAGTCCCGAGTTATTACTTAGATAGTGGACTGGTTGGCCGATTGTAACATCTATGTGGCTGGTAAGTTTCTTTCGCTCGTGCTATATCATAACAAAGTAATAGTTTTCAAGACTTCTTTCATTATTTATTCATCAATGTTTAAATTAAAGTAATTAGGTTGGACGTCCATCTTTGGACGTCCAACCTAATTACTCTTAATACAAAAAAGACAAAGTTCATAGCATTCCATAAAACAAGAACTTCTTCACCTAAGAGCTTGCCTCCATTAATTTTACATAAATGCAATTTACTAAATGCTACTTGTAATCACAGTACATACAGGAGTGTCTGTGACTGTGAGTCGGTGGAAAGAGCCGACTGGGTCTCATATCTAGGCATACGTATCGACGAAAATCTCTCTTTTAACCGGCATATCTCCCATGTCTCGTCACGAGTAAGAAAAATGATTTATATTGTAAAATCTCTCAGGAGGTCAGCACCTCTTGATATACTTCATTTGGTTTATATCTCGTTATGTCAATCTCTTCTGATTTATTGCATAGGTGTATGGGGCTGTTCAAGTAAGACCAGCTTCATCGAACTGGAAAGAGCCCAACGTGCAGTATTAAAAGTCATGCTCAACAAACCTTACCGGTACCCTACGGACACACTTTATAAGGAAGCCAAAATACTCCGAGTCCGACAACTACACGTGTGGCGAGTTGTATGCGCCCAACATAAAAAGGTTATTAATTCCCCCGATTACTATACGTTGGCTAAAAAGCGTATATTTAAGGTCCCCCTGCCAAGTGTTCGCACCGCATTTGCCCAACGTTTCCCTTTTTTTTCCCACCCTTATATCTACAATAGGATAAACCGTAAAAGCCCGGTACATAGTTTCTGCTTGCGTAAAGCTAAATTAGTTACCAAAAACTGGTTGATGAGTCTGAACTATACAGAGACTGAACACCTCCTTCCATCAACTGGCTGACATGCTGCCCTTATTCTTCACATCACACTTTACACTACACAACTTACACACCTTTGTACACCCAAATGAACGATCGCATTTATTGTTTACCTTGCTAAATTGTTTAAGAATTAATAATAAACTATGATCTATAAATTTTCCTAATGATCTAATAATTCTTTGAGTTAAGTGTGCAATGATTATTTTGTTTTCTTCTGGTGTTCACCTTCGGTCACTACTGTTCAGGTCTGCGAGCCTAGTGTAGTGATCACTGCCTAGCTAAGTAATTGTACGCTGTTTGGAAAATAAATAATATTTGATTTGATTTGATTTGACTTTGGTTCATGGACTTACTTTATTACCCGACTACGGCGACGAAGCAAACAGGAGGGTTATGATTTTGGCCGGTATGTTTGTAAGCAATGCTTGCGATTTTCCTAAAATATCGAGGAATCGGAGTCAATATTGTATTGGTGTATTAGTACCAAACCAATTGAAGTGGCGACA